TGTGTGTGTGTGTGTGTGTGTGTGTGTGTGTGTGTGTGTGTGTGTGTGTGTGTGTTTGAGTGACAGAGCGGAGCTAAAACCTGCCCAGAGGTATTAGCTGTGACTGACAGCAGGAGAAGGCGGTACAGACAATCCTCAGTCAGCACCGCTGGAGGAGACCGATAGGGACAGTGGAGAAAGAGCTCGGTCCCGCTGATACCGACCGGCATTGTGCTCATCCCAGATGTGTGTGCAGCTGTTTCTATGAATGTGTAAAGATCCAGAGGTGCTGGTGGTTGTGCCTCCACAGGGCAGTAGATAGCTCCAGTCTATTTTGGGTTGTCCATGGAAAACTATATTATCCATGGAAGGACAGACTTTTAGAAAAACAAATTAGATATCAACAATTAAACTTATTTTGGAGGTACAATGAGAATAGGCAGTTGTTTTACCAAGTCTGGACGTCATCAACCATTTAAACAGATATTAATAGAGATAAATGCATCTTGATTGGATACTTTGTGTGCAGAGAAGTAAATGGCACAGTGGTCCTGTCAGCACAAAACATACTGAGAAATACAATGTTGTAACAACAGAAAATATATTGTTTTGCCATTCTACTCAGCTGTAATGAGTATTTAAACCCTTGATGTCACACAGATTATAGAGTCATGTCAGTATATCTAAAACAACATGCTTTGCAACCCTTCTAATCACTACAGAAATATGATAAGTTATTAAATCAAGTGTTGTTTTAACAGAAATTAACAAAACAAGTTTTACCACAGATGCAGAGAAAGGCCCTTCACTTTAAAATCTTTCACATTAAAAAGAAAAAAACAAGTTTTTATCTCACCAGCTTGAATGAAATGTTTAATATCTTAAGTAAACATGAGCTAAATGCTTCTCCTGACTGCACAGGGACCAGTTTGATAGAGCTGCAAGTGAAAAGTGTGAGAAAAAGGGGGCAGCACAGACATACAGGAGCTTGTATCTGGGTTGAATGATGTAACAAAGTAAAAACAGAAGAAGTCCATTTTCTGTTTGATTAAACTGAATGCAAACCTGACCCAAACCTATCTGAGCTTCTTTTCTGTYAGAGAGCTCCAATTTAAGAGGTTTTAAAAGTTTTGAGGTCAGTTTGTGTTAGGCTTAGAGTTGATTCAGCAGCATTTTTCTTAGGTTTTCCTAATATGTGCAGTAACAATGGGAGTTTTCAACATATTGTACAAGAAAAGCTGTATTATTCCATTGGCTCTGTAATAAGACTGCTATAACTTTTAGCTGACATAAACTAATAATGGTCTACATCCTGTTGGACTTTATGATCTGTGTAAGTGCACTAGTCTTTAAAAGAAAAGCTTTTACAATTGAAGCTCTGTCCATGGTGCTGAAAATATCTTTACACCAAATTATGCATTACAGTATATGTATGAATAGGAGCCATCTGGACAACTATTTTTTTTGCTTCTTATGTTTTTATAATTAAAAAACTAATTAAAACATGAGTAAGCTGATTACCAGCAGGATTCATTTGTATTTTTATATTTCTTGGTTGTATCAATTTATAATGTAGACCTTTAAATTGTCAATTTGTTTAAAAAATTTTATATTTTGTTTCCTTTTCTTTAAATGTACATTTAAAATACAAAAAGAGATGACTGACATGGTTCATTTAAAGCATGTTTTGTAAACTAGAAAGAGATGGAGACMGAAAAATGGTTTTGACTTCAGTTTTTCACCCAATTTTTATTTAAAAACATATAAAATATAATGTCAGTGCTGCTTTTCACCTTTGTGGTTTCAAAATAAAACAGCAGATGTAAGATCAAGTTTCTCTATTTAACACTTTACAACTCTGACTCTAAGTATTCCAGCTTTCAGTCTCATATTCTGGGTAATAAGTTTCAAACAATTCCACGTTCCCCTTTGTTATTTGGCTTTAACAGTCACCAGAACTCAAATTCATTTATCACCTCTGAGTGATTTTTAAACTTTAAAAGGTACAAAAATATTAAGACGAAGATGATTTGCTAGAATAGTTCCCAATAATCTTGAGATTTAAACAGTGCCACCATCCTGAATAAATCAGGAAATGTGTTCCTTCACACTGTTTCCAGATAAAGACATCTGTTTTCTTCCTTGTTTTAAAGAAGACGTCTGGATGTACCAAGGGGAATTTACTGATCTCTGCAGTCACCTTTGTGTCTATTTGTCATGCATAATTCATGGTTTGGTGAAACTTTATTGACAGTTTGCACTAAATTTTCTAGCCCAATATTTTTTAGGAAAATGCAGTCATGYAGAATGCAGAGTGTTGTATCATGTGACACGTTCCAGCATGAAGTAAACTGTTTTCAGTGTTTTCTGTCACGTCTCTTAAGCGGTTTCAGAGCATGATGCAACAAAATGTAACAACCTTACGCCACTTGAGTGGCACCATTTTTTTTTTCCTTCAGTCGACATAAATGCCTCGCCTCGCATCTCAAACTTGACACATTCAAGAAAAAAATGCTCAATTAGTCACTTGTTATGAAATAAGTGTTAAAGCAGTACTGGTTATCACCATCGTATAAACCTTTTTTTTCTGTCTCTTACAGCAACACACTCACAAATCATGCTTCTGCACAGTCTGAAGAAAGCCAACTACCAGCTCCCATTGCTCATCACTGACTCRGGGGTGCCCCCCTTGTCCAACAACACAGAGGTCAAAGTTCAGGTGTGCATCTGTACAAAAACCAGGAGGTACTGCAGCTYCGCCCACTCCCACCGCACGAGCCTACTCACGCTGTTGGCAACACTCCTGCTCGCCCTGCTCTGTGAGTACAACTACACTAACGTCGCCCCGTCGAGGGTAATTAATGTGTTGTCTGAGGTTTGTGTGCAAAATCACTCCAATRAAATGTAAACTGCTGCAAACTATTAAAGTAGGTTCATTCAAAGGAGAAAGTATTCTTTTTCACTTAACTCACTGAACATTACCAACCACTGGTTTTAAGGGGAAAATAGATCCCATCCTTTAGGCTAGCAGCGTGTCCTGTGTATTACCAGCTATTTTATTAATTTGCAGCGATGCCCAGGGCACTCCCGAAGACGTAAAACTTGAGTTTACTCTAAATATCTCATTTAAGCCAAGCAATAGCATGAATAATTCAGTCTGTTTCATGCACAACATACTTAATGAAGGACATCCAGCAGCTACTAGTGTGGTGAGAGGAAAATTCATTTGCAACTTTTAAGACCCCCTGATTTATGATTTTTTTTTTTCTTCAGTCTGGGGATCTTTTATGTAGTTTGTAGTCGAACTCGCTGCCTGCCTGAGGCGGCGGGTGGAATGGTGACAGCGAATGGAGAGACAATGAGGCATGCGAGTGGGAAAAGTATAAATGTTATTAACGGAATAAAAACTGAAAGGATTTTTTTTTCACTTCAAGCCTTAAAAACTGATGTGGTCATAATTATTCCATCTTCGTTCTGCTAATTTGTGTCAGACTTTGAAATTCATCAGCGGCAGACAAATCCCTGCTCCGTTTGTCTTTTTTTAGCTTCTTTTCCTCCTTTTATTTTCTGGTTCTGCTGAGCTTCACGTTTTGTTCCTCCTGTTTTCCTGTTGATTACACCCTATAGAGCATTAGTTCTGTTTTCTGTCTAACATCTATCAGCTTTTGTTGTCACCAGTTTCCCGTTCTGTACCACCTGTCCTGCTCTTTTGCTTTCTCTCCAACCGGCAAACAGCCACACTCCACCCATAATCCTTTGTTTACGAGCAGAATCTGTTTCTCTCTCTCGTTTTCTTGGCGTCTGAGAATCAAAGCTTCTAGCATGACCCACTGATCTTCTCAGATCAATCCGTCTACAGATATTTTCTCCAAATGTTCAACCCTGTTATACAGTACGACTGCTCAGAGCTCACTCATCTCTTTCCCAAATTATTCTGTTTTGAGTGATTTGTCACCTGCAACTTGTGTTAAAAACAGAATGTAAAATCATAAATTAGGCTGACGGTGCATAGCGAGGAGTGGCGTTAGCACACCACAACCCGGCGCTGATAGATCATTAGTCACGGTTTGACTGCGTCGCACTGTGTTGGGTAATGCTACGTCAGCACTCACAGACAAGAAGCCACCTTTCACAAAGTTTCATGCGAGAAATCTTTAGAGTTTCCCAGCTGGAGCAGTCAGTTGTCTGTTCCTGACCTTCAGTTATGAAATATATTATGTGTAGTTTCTATGGCAGCGGCTGCGTGTGTCGGAACTACAAAGTGTGATAATTGGCAAACATTCCGTGATGACTTTGTGAGGGTCCTTTACACAGAGTTTGTGTTTACTCACAAAAGCTTTCATTTGTGTACCATAAACAGTGCGGAGGCCGAGTGTGGCATTTGTTGTCCAAATATAAAAGAGCTGCTCGGCTGCCTGTTGCTGCGCCTCAGAATGTACAGTAATGTTTGGACTGAACTATTTGTAAAGTCAGGAGCAAAGCAAAGGGAAGATGACTTCAGAACCCCGGGAGAAAACGACAGTTGGTGTGTTTGTGCCGGTGACTGAGGTTCATGCGATTCATGTGCAGGACATCTCACTCACACACACACACACACACACACACACACACACACACACACACACACACACACACACACACACACACACACACACAGCAAGCGCCAAGAGAGATGACTCCAGCTCAAGCTCATCACACAGACCTGCGCTGAGGGACAGATAGAGGGGACTGATCGCTACAGTGTGTAGTCAGATAGTCTGACAGAGAGTAAGAGAGGATTCTGTTTCATTCCCCTTATCTCCCAGCTGAACTCTGACCCCACACCATAGAGATGAGGGTAAAAAAAGGAAAGAGCCTGAGGGAGTATACTGTTAAAGACACAACACAGTAAAGTTCCAGAGATTAAACTATATTTAGACTGCGACAGAGGTCTATAAAGTATTTGGAAAAAATAAAAAAAAGTATTAATATAAGTAAAAATACATTAACAGAAAATGACTTTGGCAAAATAAATTTCACTAAAGTAAAAGTCATAAAACTGCTCACAATGATAAGCTTGGACATATCTAATTTTGTAAAAAGTGACAGTGTTACATTTTAAACTAAAGAAGTAAAAGCATATTTTTAGGTTTTAAATGTAACAWATTAAAAATAAAAGTAACGATTAAAAAATACTTAAGTACTGTAACAAAGTAAATGTACTTAGTTTCTTTAAACCTCTGCGATTTATACGTAGTGTGCGTGACCAGAAGCTCATCCCTCTTCATTTTTCTGTCTTCTTCCTTCTGTGTGTCTTTATTTATACACTTCAAGTACTGAAAACATCTACCAACTCTGTTAAATGCAGATTAACATTATTTGCAAACAAAGTATTTATGTAAAATCTTTTCTGAAATGTTTTAATGACAAAATCAATGTTTGTATTTGAGAGAAAAAAAACATGATGTGGGTGTGGTTCAGTCTGCTTCAGGAAACAGGCTTCGTGGCTATTTTTATATTTAAAAGGATTTTTGATTTAAATCAGTTTGATTCCATGAATAAAGAGTGTATTTTTACAAGCTGATTATTTTGATTTTAGGTCACAAAAAGCGTTTTTTTTTTTTTTCTTTAACTGCTTATTATGTGTCGGCTCTTTAAAAAAAGATGATGAACTGTGAATATTGAAAGCTGAATTAATGATTTCATGAAGTCTGGGAGATTCTCAGCTGTGCTGTAGTTAAAATAATGCTTTGACACATAACTAAATGCCAGCAATATGTTGCTTTGTGACTTTTTCTGCACATTTTTCAGGTGAGAACTATCAAAACGGAAGCTGTCAAAGCCATCAATGTCATTCATTATTTTTAGTGATTAAACACATATAATCACATTGAAGTCTTTGACTCAATCTGAAAAAAGAACTGAAAGCCGACTCTGACAGTTACTGTTGCAATGAAGCAGGCGTTTTCAAAATTCAACGCCACACCTGTGAAGATTGCAGGGATTTAAGTTAATCAAAGTTATTTCTCTTTATGCTAATTCATATGAAACTATGTAGAAGAATCATTCTGCACAAATGAGCTCAAACACTGAAATAAAAGTTTAAATAWAATGTTTCATTCTCATTAGAGACGTGCTCAAGCAAAAGAAACGTCCTCAATGTATCACCGTGGTTTTAATGAGACACAAAATGCTAAACTGGGAGCAGATGGGGCTCAATCTGAGTCTTTGTCAACTCAGAACGTTGTCTGATTCTTAGATCCGGGCGCWTTACATCTGTCAGAGCGAGTAGGACAGAATCACCAGTGTCAGGAGGAACAAAGATAACTCCAGCTTTTTTTTACAGCTCAGCTTGTTGAGCTCAAAGGAAAAAGAGACTAAAACAGAGAAATCAATAAACAAAATAGACAAAAAAACATTTTTTTCCTCCTCACTCATAAATTTGCTCTTGTTTGCATTTTTTGGAGCTAATTTCAAAACTAATTTCAACGATTCAACTTATAAAGCCCGCATATTTCTAAAGCAAGGGAAGTGTTTGTTACTATCAGTGACATCAGCGAGTCACACCTGTTCCACCGGCTCCCTCAGCAGCTCTTATCTTCGCACAAATACCAAAACTATAGAGCCCCGTCTGCACCGGCTCCCTGTCCTAGCTTTCAGCCATTCAGCGGTCCACTGGGATTGCTTTTCAAACCTTAAATAATGTATGTAACCTGCAAAAAAATAAAAAATAACTAAAAAAAGAGAGGGAGSGTGAGTGTGCAGAAGCAAGCGTGTGTGAAGAGTGCAAACATGAAGTGTATCTTCTAATGCTTCAGGGACCTTTGTTAGCTCTCGCAGGATTGGCAGATAAATCCCTCAGCTGCACAGGGGTCTGTTTATAATCCTCCTCGTTGTAACACTTTCTTTTCACATCATTGTGCTTAAGATTCTTGCAAAAATCCATTCAACTCCTACCTTATATGTAAACGTCTAAATAATGGGATCATTTGGGGAATAATTGCAGCATTATTTTCCTTTCCAGCAGGGAGTTAAACACTTATATAATACAGTTTGTGCACATTCTTGTTTGAGATGCTCACCAGACAAAGGTCTTCCTAATTGGGTGAAACAGTTCATACAGAAAGAGCAGCTACAGTACTTACTGGGAGAAACTAGTATTTTTTAAAAGTGATTAAGGATGAAGGACTTTATTTTGTAGTAGTGTAGCTCTCAAGTGGCAGATCAACAAAGACCACACTGCCCCCTATCAGCGTGCACGTGAACTCCTTACTGTACTTGAACTCTTTCCATGCAGCAGCCACGTTGTTGCTAAAACCAAGAGTCGAAGAGGATGCAAAGCTAGAGGCAGTGAGTCAGCCGCTAATTTTTTTGTTTATTTGAAACATTTAGGTAACATGTCTTTTATTACAGGATTTTATTTTGTAACTCAGTGTGTAAATCTGGTGAAACAGCTTTAAAAAATGTGAGTTTTCTCTGTTTCTAACCTTTATTTTGCACATTAACAAACAAAATCTTTCCTTTTGAGGACTTTCTTTTTTCAACTCAATGAGATCTTTTGTTTTTGTTGGTTTTAGTGCATCTCCAGCAAGAGTAATCACATCATTCTAAGAGTAAAATGCATAAAGGCGGAGTTAAAAACAAACTGTTTACTATTAAAGACAACAGTTTCCCATTTGCCTCTAATTTACCTCCAGCCTCGCAGGATTTCAGTCGTTCCTCCTGATCCTCTCTGCTTTGCTCTGACAGCCACTTTCATTTTCCTTTCACCGGCTCTACACTAATCTCCGGCGAGCGGGAGAGAGAGAGGACGTTTCAGGGCTTATTTACTCTTGTAAAA